TTTTTTCATTTAGTGATTCATTTCAGCTTCAATTTAGAAACTATGTCTCTGGGTACATTTCACAAACAATTAAATTAATTTTCCTAAATATGTAATGACACAGTAATCTTTCCTATGTTAAATAATATAGGAATAACAGAAATCTCTAAAAGCGGCGACAATGAAATGATAAAAATATTCTGCGACATTTTCCCCATAATTCCCACACACTTTTCTCATACGTTGAAAGTTCACTAAATATACTTGAAAACAAACATTGATGAAAGTAGTTTTATTTTTGACAAATTCACAGTTCTAGTTGAATAAAATTGTGAAAAAAATTTTTTCCAATACAATTTGAAATATAATTGTTAATATGTTTCTTAATATTTTGTAACTTCTTACGACTGCATTAATACTTTTCGGGGAGAATTCGAAAATTTTACAAGCATTCAAAACGTAATAATTTATTAGAACTCAATTAGAAAATTGCTCAATGTTTCAACGACAAATCCTACTACAGCTCACGATACTTACATTTCGGACCCTGCAAACGACCTTGATGCCATTCGAACAACAAACTTCACACTCACGTTTCCACGACCATTCATAACAGTCAAACGAGCGGAGAGTAGAAGCGATGCTCTGGACGCATTCCCGTTTCTCGGAGGCCAATCAGCGAATCATTTGTCGCTCTCTTCTCATCTCATCTGCCCCTGGTCGCGCCGTCGCGCCGCGCCTCGCCTCGCCTCGCCGGTGGCCTCTCTCGGCGCGCGCCGCCGGCCCTCGAGCGCCGAGCGGCGAGGCGAGGCGAGGCGAGCGGCGGAGGAGGAGCGCCCGCAGAAAAAGCGCATGCGCAGTGCGGTCACGTCCGAGCCTCCGCCGCCACACGACTAATTCGGTTATTGGCCGGAGAAATATGGCGCGCGGCGACCGAACGGCCTCACGCGGTCGCCAGACCTCCACCCCCATCCCCACCCCCCTTCTACCTCGTCCTCCCCTGACGATGTGGCTGCTGCAGAGGCAGCGTTCGCTTTTACGGCGATCGTCTTCGTTTTTTCTGACTGCTACTTTTTGTCCCACGTTTTAAATACGCGTTATGCGCGGGAGTCAATATAGGATCGCCAATAGCGGAGCTGGCTCGCCACGATACACACAAATTATTTCTGGCAAAGAGAGCAGCAAGAAGTGTTCGTATTAGCTGGGTAGAGATGAGTTTTGTTGAAGTTTCAAAAAGGGTGCAAAAAGTTTACCTCTAATAGGGACCCTTATATGGATGTGAAATACTAAGAACCGCCATTACGCTCTTGACATATTATACTATAATAACATATTGTATATTAGAACGAAATAAACGAGACGGTAATGATCATCCCTTGTCAAGCAACACAACCTACCTGATTCATCTTGCCCGTATAAAAGGCTTTTGAGTATGGATGTTTGGAGAATTAGCCGCAAGGAGAATGTGTCAAGCAGTGACCTATTGGAACGTAAATCTCCTCACAGATAAAACGACTGTTCATAAACAATGATACAACGCGAGACGCATATTCAATTTTATTAAGACGCTCTGAAGTGAAGTATAAACTTCTGACGTCGTGAAGAATTCTCAGTCATTAAAACTGCCACGTGAAATCTAAGGCTGAATTCCTCGAAGAAAAAAGAACGGAACAATTTTTCGCGTCTGCTCATTATCAAGCGGGGAACAAGATTCTGAAAGAACAAAAAGACTCACATCGAATGAGAGATACTACGCAACGTCAAAGCCAAAAACACAGAAACTGGCGCAGATGCTCAAAGCACTTACAAAGAGAATTCTGCGAAGAATTTACGGGGCAAAATAAGAAGACAGGAAAGGAAGAATACAACACAACACTGAGATATACGAGTTGTGCAGAGATGTAAATCTAAACAACCTTTATGAAGGCAAGGAGTCTGCAGAGAACAGGACATCTGCAAAGAATGGTTCCGAAGAATCCTTGAGCCAACAAAGTTACGGCGAAGAGACAAGCAAGAGACCAGCACGAAGGTTCTCATACGATGAAGTGATACGGAAAAAAACTTGAGTCTGAATTCAACTGTAACGTTAAGATTACAAGAATCTTCGCTAGCAAGGACATCAAGACAAAATTACATCTTTTTGTTAAATTTGTACATAGTTAAGAAATGTATCATAGTGAAAAGCGTTTAAAGAAAAAAAACTCCTTTAAGTCATGTGATCTAATATTAAGATGGTCCAGCAATATTTTTCTTGATAAAAGCAACGGCACGATAACTCTCACGGCATTATAATGTTAAGATTACTAGAATCTTCGCTAGCAAGGGAATCAAGACCCAATTACATATTTTGTTAAATATTTACTAACTTAAGTAACGTGCCATATTCAAAAGCGTTAAAAGAGAAAAGGCTTCTTTATTTCATGTAATCTATCTTTATTATTATTATTATTATTATTATTATTATTATTACTAAGGCCCTACAGTATTTTTCTTGATAACAATTAAGGCACGATAAAAACCCATGCATATTAAGTTGTTATACATATTATCAATTTATATCTAGCTTTATGAAAGGTTATTACAAACAGCCGTTGTAAGTGGAAATTTAATTACTGCTTTTTCTAAAATTCAGATTTTGAAAACAAATTTCCTGCTATCCAATTTGCTATTCCAATAACCTAAACCAATTAAAAACTTGCATTTAATAGAAAATTATTACATTTTAGATAAAAGTAAAATAATACTAATACGGAAGCATTAATACTAGCAAAAATATAAATTGAATGATCGAATGAAAATGCTAACTTTAGCTCCGTAAGGGGAAAATACAAATTGTTTCAATTACATGCTCATACAACGTAATATTTTCATTTCCATAAATGAATACCAAACTTCACAACTGAAATCCTATTCCAAAGGTAATCACAGATGCGCAAGGTGTACGAAAATTAACACTTCATACATCTAAGGTACATTTACATTTACATTATTTGCTGTTGAAGATATACAATTTTCTTGTCCCTTGTTCATTAAATTGTTTGTTTCTTGTATTTATTAATGAAACTGCTGCCAGTGATCTCATTGTCATTCATTTAAACTATAAAAATATTAAATGTTTCATGGGCAAATTTTACTTATATACGGAATAATTTAATATATCTTGGATATTATCCCCTTGGGTACGAACATTGTTTTCCAATTTGCTTTATTTCAAAAACCACATGCAAGAAGGAATCAGAAGTACATTCCCGAGGAGTTCTTCCGTTACCTTGCTAGCTTTCTCTACTGGTGACAACCTTAAACAACATTGATTTCAATGTTTCCTTCAGGGAAGGGCCCAGAATGCTTCAAGAACAAAATACACATTTTTATAATCACTTCGTCTTCACGGACAGGACGTTATCCGTTTGCTATCGTTCAATTCCTGGCTATTCCATCACAATGGTAGACCAAGATTGCAAGTCAATGCTGCTCGTATCTAAGTCGAAATCTGCCATGACTATCTATTACATATCTACTAGTTTCGTCCACGAAAACAGTTTTTATACATATTAATTTCTTTCTGATTACGTGAAGAATCATTTCAAAAAGGACTTTTTTTCAATCCTGACTTTGAGGGTTCGTGTTGGACATGAAACACATTCGCAATGAAAACACAATCAAGCAAGCACAAAAGCACAGTCCGATTGATTGCAGTTCCCTGATAGTTCCTCTCAGCAACATACCGTATCTTCGGAAATATGGCACTTTCTAATAACTCAGCTGTTACTTCCAGATTCTCAGTCATCAATTAAAAGCTTCTATACCTGCTCATATAAAAGTATAGTCTACGATTTAATGTTATGGACGTAAAAAGTAGTTATAAGCGATTATGAGAACAAATCAGCTGTTTTACAACAAAAAAAGGTTCTATCGAAGTGATTTCAAGAGAAAGCATAGTTTCTGATACCACAAAACATGGAATTTCAAAACACTACAAATTAACCAGCAATCTTAACTGCCTATAATTGGACAGATGGATCACAATGTGAAGAATCTTTTAAAATGTGTAGGAAAGTTCAAATTTAACAGAAACTAAAGTATATGAAAAGTAAATACCCAAGATAATTATCAAGAATAATGAATAGAATTAATGCCAGGAGGGAAGAATACTATTTTTGTCCGGAAATTTTTGAATGTCTTCCTCACATGCAACAATAACCATAAAAAATTGAACGATACTTGATACGAAGTATGTTGATGTGTTTTTAGTTTTTAAAAAACTAAAGTGTAAACATTACGGTTTTTATTCTATTTAAAATATATAATCTTTTGTATTTTTATCTATGAAGGCCTGGAAGCAAATTTAATATACAATTGTAGAACACCATGACTTAGGAAACCATTTATAACCACTTAAAAGTTTTTGCATTAAAAAATATAATACACGCAATATAAATAAATTCTTAAAGACTGTTTAAGCGATATTACCAAAACAATTGTATGAAAAACAAAGAAATAACTTAATTGAAGTATTACTTAATAAAAAAGGTTAGCTTTTTCTGTAAGAACTTCTTTACGCAAGTATGGGCTTTTAAAATAGTTTATGTATGGTCTGTACTATGAAAACTATGAATGAGAAATTAAGACAGGAAGCAAATCATGAAAGATCGAAAAAATGTTGTTGGCAACGATAAAATATTTATTTGGGAAAGGAAATTATCAACGTTGTTCACACTTACATTACGAATTGCAATTGCTCACAAGTAGAATGTTAGCACGAAAGTTTCTACCGGTATAAGTATCTGTCGAAAGAGGACGATTTTCTGAAGACTCGTGGTAAATATTTAGTATTAACTTTCTGTGGGGAAAAAAAGCTATTGGAAAACTAATGGCTTTCGCCGCTCTTCAAGCGTCCGAATCTCTTCTCTGGGATCTTGAAATTAATTTAGTGCATCATGAAGTGGCTAGTATATTCTTGTTAATCATTACTTGCAAGCTTCTCCAGGGCAAGTGGCAAATGGCGCGTGCTGTGCCCGCAGGCGGTGGCGAGCAACGTGCAGCCGCGCTGCAAGTGCCACGGCGTGTCGGGCAGCTGCGAGCTGAAGACGTGCTGGGAGGCGGCGCCGCCGTTCCGCGCGGTGGGCGCGGCGCTCAAGGAGCGCTTCCGGGCGGCGGTGCTGGTGGACCAGGGCAACCTGGGGCGGCCGGGCGCGCCGCTGCTGGCCGCGGCGCCCCCGGCGGGGCCGTCGCCCCACATAGTTATAGCATATGTTGTTATTGTAGGTGAAAGGGCTCCTATAAACTCACCAAACACTAGGGGCATCATCCCATAAATTACACTGTACTTTAGATGTCAGCTAAAATAATCAAATTAAAGGACAACTTGCCGCCAGTGTTTCAAACGTTATTAGCTTTCACTCCGAGGATACACTGTTTACAAAACAGTTTAGGTTCATTTCAGTCTCGTGTCTCAGTTTAAGCGCACTCATTGCCCACAGCGATACACATTCTGGGGAGCAATTTTTCGGATATCTTTTCACCTTCATAGAACTAACAGGATTATATAAAACATTTTTGTCAATTGCTTCATTGGTGAACAAATCTAAATTGGTAACCACCTGGCGATTATTTCTTACGAGTGGGAAAGCCATGATGGTGTGTTTGAGGCGAGAGAGCTAGTTCAAAGATGATAACAGGAGTTAGAGATAAGTATGTCATCACTATATAGGATTTTTTCCGCCTGTGCGGTTGCTCTAGTAGGGAGCCTCATTCGGAGGCTACATGTGGAAATGTCCTTGCTCGTCTCCTCACCTTCGTGTTACTGGTCAAGAACGTTTTCAAAGTCTGCAGTGGAACTAAGGAGGGAGGCTTTAGAGAAACAGAGCGGTGCAAGAAGCTCGACTACGCATTCTCAGTGTGCGGGTGGAATGACGAGTAGGAGAGTCATGTATGTGAGGCTTTTCGCTTAGAGAAGAGCGTGAAGGATGAGGCGGTATGCCCTCGGCAGGTACGGACTGTAGTTTTAATTCAGTTATCTTTGTTGTGATTCCATACGTGCGACGCTGATCAGTGTATAAATTTGGATTTTTTTATCTTATTCAATTTCTTAGTCGAATATATACCAGATTATTTGTCAAATTTTAGGCAATCTTTTGGTCATAAGATTCTGGCACAGTGAGGAGTTGAGTAAAGTACATTGTCTCTCCCTTCTTAAAATTATCAGGTTTAAATATTAACCACAAACTTCAATATAATCACCGCGCCACGCCGCTCGGAGGTATTTTTCCAGAGGTGGGCTGTTAGATATGTCACTTCTATATTTATTAATTTACACAAACGCCGCCCCCTGATTCAAAGCATTAGTTTATCGAACAAGATATCTTGAAAATTAATAGATAAGCTTACAACTATTTATAATAAAGTTCAATTCGCTTTTATTATTTTTTTGAAGGAACGGAAAGTATTGGATAAATATATATTTACGGAATTAATCGTTATCTTCTTTTCTATCACAGCTATTTTCACCTTCTTCAAAGGAACCTGATTGATTTATATCGTCATGGACATAATTACCCTCATTATTTTTGGTTTTTAATGAATTTGAGACATAAAGATGATGTAAAAAAAATATTATAGGATATATATACCTCAGAGTTGTACCAAGATGAGTGTTAATTAATTATTTCTGATAATGTTGCTATATAAACGATGCGAAAAAAGCGAGCGCACTCGTGTAGATGTACGTAAATATATACCGGATTGTCATGATACGATACATACTGGAGTCTTCTACTATACGGCACGTCACTTCTCTCTGTATCACGCATTAACAATAACACATATTTCGAATCTCTCTATGTCATTCTCTCGACAAACCTGCCTCTTTAAGATATGAATTTGTATTAGTTAGGTTCTATTAATGAGAATTAGACTTGGCACAGACTAATGGTAGCTCAGGACGTTATTCATATAATATGTTTGTACCTCTATCTTGCATTGAGTGAAATACATCTGCAGGGCTATCATTCTCAAAGAATATTATAGGATGTTATATTCTTAGGCTCTCCTCGAGTGTTAACACTCGCAGTTATAGAGTGATATCAGTGATTAGAATACATAATAGTTTCCTAGTTAGGCCAAAATTGAGATACGTACTTTAAGGCGTGATTATGGATACTGAACACAATAGTACATAGCCTCGTGAAGTATGCCAAGCATTAAAGCAGTTTCGTTGAGAGAATAGGTGCACTCGCGAATATGAATTCAGTTGGTAAGATTATTCTCACTCTCAATATCGTATACGTTATCTGATAGGGTATGGAAATTAAAGTACTACACACCTTTGCCACTTTGTAGGAAGATCATAAATTAATGAAATAGAGAATTTATCCCGAGATGAGACAGCGATTTACTCCGTTCACGTGAGAAAGACTCCTCTGATAATTGTTTCGTTTGAAAATCCTAATTTGATGTATTGTTAATTATGTATCTCCTTTAGATGAAGGTAGTGGGCTGATGACTGACTAGTACATTCTTTTATAAAATATGATGAGTTGTATGTCCATTTGCAGTGTCAAATTAATAATCATAGAGAATCACAATTACTTTTTTTTCTTAGTGCTTACTCTCGCAGGAAGGTAAAAGTACGGCTCGACACACTCTCGCTGCGCGAGAGCACAGTATTCTGGTGCAACATTCGCAAAAGGAGTTCATATTTATAGTAAATATTAGTTAATTAGGTTATGGCAAATGACATATATAATTTTACAGACACACGTTGGTTATAGTCGGGTAATTTTCCAATCAAGAACATCCACCATTCAAATGTTGGCTTGTTCTTTATAGACAAATTCTATATAGTAATTAGGGTAATACTATCAAGGGCCATATAGATATGGTCCCAATTTATATCTATCGTATTTGAATATTTGAACAAATGAAAAGGATGAAGGATTCACTTGAAAATGTAGACTCTGTGACAGACACAAGCTTGTCATTTTCTGTATTTAGTGATTTTCATTAATCGTATACACATTAGTGTAGAAACCTCGTTCCACTCTATATTTTGTTATTCATCATTATTTCCAGATATTTTTATATAGATTGTCGAATTGTTGGTAGAGATCGTAAGCATTTAGTCTTATAATCGTTATCAATACATTGTCAGCATTACTTCGACTCTTACATATTAGCGAGGTAAGAAATATTACTGTATGAATAGATTTATTGAATCTTACCCTTGTTTCCTCATATTCTTACGGGCATAGATTACTCTGTTTTAGATTGATGTACTAGTGATGTCTTAATATTTGTGAAGCTGAAGAGTATTTATGTTAATTGATTTAGACAAGATATTTTCGCTGTATGATCATTCATATCTAGTATAATAGATATATATATAAACAATGCGTGATTATCCACGACTATGTGATGTTGTGATGATTCGGAAGTCTGAAGTGCACAAAAAATAAGTATTTACCTAAACATACCTCCCTTCGCTCGTAGAATTGATTGAAGTTCGTTTCTCTCTATTAATCCTTTATCTTTGTTATCTGTTAGTTTTCTCCAGAAGTTACAGAAGCCAATTGTTAAGCTCACTTTCGAGATCACAGAAGTGCGAAATCAAATTGGAGACGCACATATTAATCTCTCTATCTCTCTCTCTCTTCTGTTCTGGTGGGAGTGTACTTCTTCTTTCTCTCATTCAATATATTTTTCATTTCGCGTGGAGCTTCCTCTTGCATTCTCTAGTGGACGTCTCGTCTAAGATTTATTTTGTGTTAATTTAATTAGTCTGGTTCATTGCTTTAGCGGTACTTTCTTGATTGTGGAAACTTAAACAATAACTTTCGACAATATCGCTGTGAGAAAAAGATACTAGACAATAAGTAGTTGTCTTAGAAGAGAAATTGTAGCTTGAGAAAAGGAAAACACTCTAACGTAAGCTTGACTCACAGACGCACATTAACTTTGAGTAATATACCGAGCTTACAGAATGTCGCTGCAATATATTTTCATGAAATTGACTAGATGATTCGCTCTTGATCAAACCGTGCTTCGCTAATCTGCTCTCTATAGTATAAGAAGATCTCATCGCGTGAAACATTTTGGATCATTAATATCTGGTGTTATGTCCTCGCATCCCGCTCCGAATACATCTGTCGCGTCTCTGCACCAGACTTACTTGCCGCATGAGCGCTTGTCCTGATGGAGCAGGCATCTGGCGGTAAAGCACAAGACCTGAAGTAGGTGGTCGTTGCACTTGCCAGTTTCCTCGGGGGCAGGCGTTGTATGTTCTTGGTTTCCCGTGGTATCCTGCAGCGCAGGATTGAGTGTGAACACGGGCGGGAGGGACCACGATACTTGCTTGCAAAACAATGAACCCTACTCCCTCGAAATGCGCAGGGAACCAGGGTGTCAGGACGAACAGGCGCTCTCCTCGCGTCGCGTGACATGCAGTGATCGTGTGTTACTTGCGGACGTGACCACTCCATCGTCCGTGTCAGTTGTCGCAGTTGCACGCTGCAGCACCAGCGGAAGAAGCAGTTCATAGCGCTCGTCCACTCCCTCGCTCCCGCAGCTCAAAGTCTCTAAGGCCGCGCCCAGGCAGCTAAACTCTGGACGCGCAAGCCGTCCGCGCCCGCGGCTGCGCAATCAGTTTGGGCAGCGCCGCCCCGGCCGTCCTCTGCACAGAACCAGCACCTGTCAGTTATTCAGCCTCGTTTAAGGGGGGCTAAACTGTACCGGTTTTTTTAATCTCAGCGCTGCAACGAGTCTGTATCCCGTCCCGTAGTTAAATGATTATTCCTAATTACACAAGGAATTGAAGTTAGCATTCATCTTGTCATCGCAAACATTTTGCACTCCGGGGTAAATAGAAAACTTATTGTATTCGTAACAGGAACTATCATGATTCAATTTTTAATGTGTTTAAAAAATATCATACCACTATCCTTCCGGATCTACCCTTACACAATCTCCTAAGGAGAGCTCAACAAATGTGCCCCTCAGTGAATTTATTAATCCAGAAGCAGTAGTTCAAAGAAAACTGGATAAAAACGCTTGATGAGATTGATAGGTTATAGCTTAGCTGCTAACGTAATACAGAATTCTAACGCATGGTGTAGTCATAGGGGCAAAGGTTTAAGACTGTAAGGTGTTACTACTTATCCTGATATATATATTGTGTCCATTCTTAAATTATTAACGAGATAATGAGAATATCTGACTGAATGTTAGTAGGCTGGATCTTTGAGTATGACTATATGTTCTTCAACCTTTGTTCAACTCAATTTGTGACCGATCAGCTTTTTTAAATTTTTTGTCACTATAGGAACATTGACAAGGTAAAAGTGATTTAATCAATATTTTTTTTGCTAGTTCATCTGCCTTTCCCATATGTATTTACCAACCTTCATACCTGTGCTCAGAAAATCATGTTTTATTGAATTTTTTAAAATAAGATCAAAGATTTTTTGTAAAAGTTAATGTACGTAACTTTGTATGAATGAGCGACTTTTTAGCTATAATAATACAAAACGTTATCTAATTCGATATTCAATTGTTAAGTAAAATAGGATTCTTTTATTGATCGCTGCGATCTTTATATTGACCCACTCGGATTTTAATTTATTTCCACCTTTTTTCAGCTTTGGCTCTGAAGATATTCAATTTGTGAATGGTATTGATTGATACATTAATAGAATTTTTTTTAGCTCTCTCTGATGGTACACCTGTTTCAATTTGAAAATTTAAATTTGCAACTGTAAATGACAGACTCGGAACACGACGACATCGATGTTTAAAAAAGCTGGCTTCAAAATCGTGTAGATGTCTTTCACAGAGTGATTTTAATAACGACATCGATAAATAGTAGTTTGTAGACTCACGTTTATATTTGCAAATAAATCACGCTGCGACTAATTAGAGGCGCCTGCAAGACTCACTGAGAGGTTGTTGTCTGTCGTCTCGCGTTCTGCGTTCAGAAGCGCTTGGGAAGAGCGCATCGGTAAGCTCATGATTGCAGGTCTGATATGCGGCGCGACAGGCGCCGTCCACAGGCGGAGCTCTGGTAGCCTCCGCCCTATTCGTGTCCGGCCACATTTAACCTTTGGCCGTCCATAGTCGCCTGCCGCTGGGCGTTGGGCAGAACAAGAGGCCGAGAGCGCAGGAGTACGCTTGAGCGCGTTCGCTCTCTCTTGGCTGGTGTCGCCTGGCGCGGCGCGCTAGAGTTGAGATAGGCAGGCGGCGGTTGGGGCGGGGCT